TGCCCCCCCCCCTTGCCCCCCCCCCTTGCCCCCCCCCCCCCACGAAAATCTGTATTGAGGCTGTATTTAAAGGTAAAAGGACTAGTAACTAGTTTTAAAAGACAAAAACAAAGATGGCTACCCAAAGAAGGCTTTACTCGAAGCATTTGCTTGACACAGTAGCCTGCGAAAGATGACATTTCTCTGTGGCGGTTTCGTGATTAAAAAAGTCAAAATTCAACTCAACTGGAAACCTGTTGGTTGTATCCGAACTGATTTTGATTTAAATTTATAAACAATTTAAACATTAATTAAAGCAATAAATTATTACTTTAATGCGAATAATAATATACATTAATTATTAAATTAATTATTTTACTTTCATTTTTATTTCGTTGCGAGCTCCGCACTTTGCAATACCCGAATGGAAGTTACTAGCGTATTCAACGAAGTTTTACCTCACGTACATGTGTAGGCTAAATTACTATAAATTGTATTGTGATACGCATCAAATATACAGCTTCATCACATTGATCTCACGAACCTCTCCCATTTGGTGAAATGATCCCGATTCGTGTTAGATTTACAGCATGAGCTCCACGTTTGAATTTACTATATGGGTAAATTCTTAAACACATCCGAATTTATCATTTATTGAATTTATCTAATGATAAATTAGCGGCATCTAACCCCTAACACTAACCCCAACCCCTAACCCCAACCCTAACTTTTTTAACTTTTTAACTTTTTTGAAAATCTAACTTTTTAAACATTTTTTTCTTTTTTAAAACTTTATTAAAACTTTTTTTCTGAGAATTTTGAAAATATTTCTGGTAATTGATAACAACATCAAATGATCGATGTGCGTTTTTCTTCAGCTGTACACCCACATATTATAGCTTCCGTTCCATCCTTACAAACAAAAACCTACCGATGAATTTTTCAGGTATGCTTGATATTTATAGACGTCTCTGGCTAGCCCAAAGTCACCAACTTTTGCAGTGTATCCATGTCCAAGAAGAATGTTTCTTGCAGCCAAGTCTCGATGAATAATCTGTAATTATGATGACAAGCTGTGACGTGGAAATTAACTCAACTAAGATCAGAGCCAGACGCATGCGTATAATCCCCGAGCCAACGGCGCTCCGTGCGAGGGTAGCAATTCCGCCTAGCTATTTACCCCCGGGGAAAGCATTGGCGAAGTTTAAAGCATTGAACTATAAGTAAACTGGAAGGATAACCCCCATTGATGAAGGCCAATGATTCGTTGAAGCTGACGCGCGGAAAAAATGAGCTTTCAAAAGGACTAAGTCTAAGGCGAGTTTCGGGGAGTGAAAAAATTCGATCAAAAGTTTGTTTTCGATTCGAGCAAAAATTTTCAAGGAAAACACGTTTTCCATGGGAATACTGCATTGATTTGGATTCAAACCAGGTTTTCCAATTAGTTCCGACTGTTGTACATCTCTCTGCAGCAAAAGGTAAGGAATTTTGCTTTTGTATTTTGAAAAAATGACGAAGTTTGGGCGTGCCGAAGGAAATCTCGGTCTTCAACTCGAAAAAAGTATACTATAAAACTTTTGACTGTCCCAAAAATTAGTTTGTACTAACCCCCAGGTATTGTTATTTATCCTGAGCTTTTAGTCCTTGTTTTATTCCTTCTAAAACATGAATAAATTGACTTTTTCAAGTAACGCTATTTTCGTCATCGCATCTTTGTTGGGCATTTGTATGAGCACTTTGAATATGGCAGCCAAGCTAGCTTTCATAATGCTTATTTTAACTGTTAAAAGTAAGTTGTTTGTGTACTTGAAAATAAATTTGCAAATGTATCCAATATTTTTCTACATAATATGTATCATAAAACCTCTTAACTCGTTTCGGAAGGTCTCATAACTCAGAAAAACCAAACATTTTCGCGCGGTTTTTTGACAAATTTTGTTTTGGCCCTCTAATATTTTTAGCAGTTGAGCGATGTTTCTCTATTGTAAGTACTTGAGTTAAAAGATTAACTGTCTTAGTATGCTCTAAAATGAAAAAGGAAAGGGGGAAAGGAAATTAAAGGGGTAAAATTTATCGACATATAAAGTGTATTTTTCAAAACAAATTTGCACAAAAGGACTGGCACTACCTACAAAGCACGGCTTCAATTTCTCCCCTGAGATAGCCTTCCAGTTTATTTATAGTTCAATGGTCTAAAGTTCATCAATGATCGCGGGCGTGGGTTATCGTTCGTAGGTGGGTGGGTGGTCATCCTCACTGATCTCATAATATAGCGGACTGTCATGAATAGCAAGCACAGATTGGTCCAATTTAAAATTTGCATTATGTGACGACTGCATGACGATAACGAAATTGCAAACATTTCTTGATTTGATGATTTCTTGCAAATATATTTTATGTTTGCAAGATATGGAGTTCAAAAGCTTTTTGAGAAAAAAAGGTGAAAAAGAAGGGAGCAAAGGCGCCGATGCCAAAGGTAGGTTTGTTGTAAATGAAAAAGACAGCATATAATTCCAGTGTATCTTTATTTCAAACTCAAAGTTTATCGATAAAGGTAATTTAGTTTTTTCAAGATAATCAAGAACATGTTAAAACGTTTTGTGAAGGGTTTGTGGTAAAATTTTACCCGGTAAAATTCAACCACAAACGCTTCGCAAAACGTTTTAAAGATTATAATTTTATTACGTATAATTAATTAAGGTTATAACTTCACACGATGAACGTGCGTTTTAGTCTATTGGACATTGCGCAACGAATTTTAGGTGTAAATTTACCATGAAATTTTCAGTGACGAAAGCCAGGAAAATGATCATTTCGAAAATTTTCATTTGATGGGTGTTCAGTTTAAACATTTTCAGTATTGGCTGACTGGATAGATATATAGGTACCTTCATAAAAAGATCAAAATATGTTTATAGTTTATACCTCAACGTTTGTCTAGATATCGCAATTCGAATCTTCATATATGCACGGTAAAAAAAACGTGTGCGGAAAATTTCTCTTCTTTGGTGGTTTTTCTGATATACACCCTGATTCTTGGATTTGTCACTGTAATTCACGAAGTTGTCAAAGAAAACGTAATATCAGAAAAACCATTGAAGAAGAGAAATTTTCCGCACACGTTTTTTTTTTATGTCGTACCTATGAAGATTCAAATCGAGATATGTAGACAAACGTTGCATGAGGTAAACTATAAACATATTTTGATTTTTTATGGGATACCTATATATTTCTTTATCAGCCAATTTTGGACATGTTTAAACATAACACCCATCAAAAATCAGCATTTTCTTGGCTTTCTTCACTAAAACATTTGGTAAAGTTACACCTAAAATTCGTTGCGCCATGTTCAATAGGCTAAAACGCGCGTTCATCATGTGAAGTACCCTTAAATTGATTGAAGCTTATATTACGTATAGGCCTAATAACATTATAACATATACCTAACATATATATGTGCTTGAGGTTACGCCGAGTACAGTCACGCGTTGACGACGATCTGTCAAATATGACTCGAACCAATTCAATAGATTACCGCCGATACCAGAATTGGATAGCTTGCGTATTAACCTTTTGTGGTATTTTTGACCGAATCAACCACAAAAAGTTAATACGCAAGCTATCCAATTCTGGTATCGGCGGTAATCTATTGAATTGGTTCGAGTCATATTCGTCAACGCGTGACTGTACTCGGCGTAACCTCAAGCACCCTTCCTGTGACCTCGGGCGTTCCACACGGGTCAATACTTGGTCCTGCACTCTTCCTGTTATATGTGAATGATCTACCCGAAGCAGACTTGTCCTCTCGAGTTGCAATGTTTGCAGCCGATGACACTAAGCTATTCTCTGCAATTACATCTCAGGACGATGTAGCATCTCTCCAAGCTGATCTTATGAACTTAGAACATTGGTCATCTCAGTCAGGCCTGTCCTTCAACCAATCCAAATGCAAACATCAGACGATTACGCGTAAGATTGTGACATTTACGTCATCATATAAGCTAGAAGACACCAAAGTAACTACCACCGACTGCGAAAGAGATCTTGGCGCACGGATGTTTTCCAAACTTACGTGGAAAAAACAAGTGTGCAACCAGACGCCAAAAGTGAACAAGTCCCTTGGCTACATCAAAAGAAACACCAGATTCGTGAAAAGTACTGCAGCAAGACGGATGTTCTACCTGGCCCTAGTGCGGTTACATTTTGGTTATGCAACGCAAATCTGGGCACCACAATCAATAGAACTTATCAACCATCTTGAACGAACCCAACGACGTGCTACGAAATATATTCTAAATCTACAATTCTCCTCGGATATAGACTATAAATCAAGATTGCAGCCGTTGCATCTACTCCCAATACGCTACTGGCACGAATACCTTGACTTGATTCTATTCTTTAAGATCACACATGGTTTACTGAATACAAGCGCCTCTCCAGTTATATTCAGAGTTCTCGCAGAACCACTCGCTCAAATTCAAGCAACACGGTCAAGTATGTCATCCCCAGATGTAAAATAACCAGCTACCAGAAATTCTTCCTTGTTAGAACTTCCAGAATATGGAACACACTTATAGATGCAATAGACCTTCGTACGGACAGTCTAGCCAAATTCCGCCATTTTGTGGAGACAAATTTTTACTGAGAAAAGATAGGAGCATGCATTCTATGTCTACTATTTCTATGCTGCACACGCATGGATGTATAGAGAGCTGAGATTTGGGTTGTATGACTACGACGCATGCGCAAACTGCTGGTATTCCAATAAGAAGAAGAATCGTTGTCTCATTAGACATGAACTAAATTGACTCGTTAATTAAAGATAGATCTTATACAAAAGCAAATAATTTATATTTCACTGCAATCTAGCAATTATCACCACTATACAAAAAGCACCACGATAGGAGTACGTAGCTCTCTTGACACGGGAAACCCGTGAGTAACTGAGTAAGTGAAAGGTTTCAGTAAGCCCAGTAAAGGATGTACTGACAATCTAGACAATCTGTGTTTCACTCGGTTTTGTTTTTGTTTCGCTGGGGAAATAAATATTATTTCATGTTGTCTTACCTTTCTTGAGATCAAGAAAGTCATCCCTTTTGAAATTTGCCAAGCCAAGTACATCAAATTTTTTGGTCCAATGACTTGAGAAAAGTCTGCCATTAAAGACTCTTCCTCCACGCTGTAGAGATTCCGACTGCTTCGTAAGAATTCTCGGAGATTTCCATTTGGACAATATTCCAATATTATCCACAAGTTTGAACTCTTGCCTAGGTAAGATTAGCATATCATGTTTGATTTTTTAAAATATATGTACTGCGAGCAGAATTAGGTGCCACAACTTTCCTGTTTTGAACACCCGCATATCAAGCACAAACACTGAAAGTCGGATACCGCCATAACCAGCTAAGTCAACTTCAGGGCGCTCAAATAGAGCGGGCTGAAACGGCAATAGGCGCGCTGATCGATGTGTGCTGCAATGAACTGGTAACGAGTTGGTTGTTGTTACTATGGTTACGTTGTCTTATGATGGCAAGGTAAATATGGCGGGAAAACTGAGCTGGAAGTTTTGACTGTTTTGTAGTCAAGTTTTAATGAAGAAATATAGTAAATATATATTGGGAGTAAAATTCCGATGTTATACGATAATTTAGCAGATTGTGCTATTGTATTTTCAGGTATTACTGCCAATCTCAAAACGCTTGCGAATGCTTACGAACGGTTAAATTTGTTTTCGCAAGAAGCATGACGTGAAAGGGTTTGAAAACTCTTCGTATGTAAATGCACGTATCGTTCACGTTCTTATTATTATTCATCTTATTTAAAACACGGTAGCCTTTTCACAAAGAGTGATTTTCAAAGGGTCCTGCGGACAATTATTTACCTTACTAAAAAATAGGTACGCTGTAGCGTACATGGCGTCTACTGGATCAAAAACAAATAATGTCAATGCCGTCCGGTTTATATTCACATTTCCGACTTTGGAGTGGGGAAAATTAAAATATCTAGATCTCGGCAACTATTTACTCGACCTTTAAAACGAAAACCACCGTTGAAATCCTCATAAAATAACCTTTCGAACGGTGGATCAAATGCCGTCATAACATTACA